TTCCTTCAGAGGATCTTTTGTTGGTTTTAGCTGTAGCATTTCAAGAAGGTAGTTTTTTTTCTATTGGAATATGAATTAAATCTTCAAGAATGGAAACTAGGCTTTGATTTTTTAGCTTTTCATCATGTCTGATTTTTATTTAAAAATCTGTACTATAGTCATGGTGGAATAAAAAACATTAACAGAATGACACTGTCACTTCAGAGAAATAACGAAGAGAAACATGTATAAAGTAACCTGGAGTGAACTAACAAGTGCACGTTTGTAGCGTATTGTCATTTCTCCCTTATAAAGTCCTCTAAATCTCGGCATAAGACCTGAGGAAGGCTGCTCAGTTGCCACTATGGGGATCCAACCCTTCCGGAAGGCTCAGATGCCCTTGTTTGGTCAGAGGTCACAGTGCAGGAAGGGCTGGCCGCATGGTGGCTTCTGGATGGACTAGTATTTTTTCTTTTTTCTTTCATCCTTTCTTTCTATGTGAGATAGATTTGCTTAGAATCATATTGGCTGAAGCACTGGAATGCTAATTTTTAGGGGATATGGGCTCTGAGGTAAAGTAGACTTATTGGTTGTAGCAGGAGTAAACCATATAATTAGATAATGCACAAATATATACATACATTACATTCTATGTCTTCAGTATATGAACACACACACACACACACACACACACACACACACACACACACACACACACACACACACACACACACACACACACACACACACACACACACAAAATATAAATAAAACAGAGAATAGTGAGTGAGTGAGTTGAACCTTGTTTAATATTGGTGATAGGTTCTTGAAGACAAGGACTCCTGTAAGCAGTGTTAGGCAAAACCATTTTGTCCGTTCTGAGAATGGATGTGAGAATGTCCCTATGATTTTAAGTTGGATTTGAGTAGAGCACAGGCAATGCAAGACAAATGTTTAGAAGAAGCTGCCGTTCCGAACATTACTGAAGAAATGATTACTGAAACTTTCCATCTCCCAAGGAGAGATGCAATTAGTGAAATTTCCCTTACACTTTATAGAAATGCTAGTTTAGCTTGAACATTACTATTATAGGATTACCTAAGTATATGTAAGGTAATAAATTTATTATTTTTATATCTATTTATATATATATCTTTTCTTTTCCATTAGGCCAATGATTAACTGGTTCATGGTGCACTTGGTTTTAGAAGCAATTACATTCACTGGATGATTTAAGTTTCATAC